TTACAGACACGCACATACACACAAAGATAAGAAGTATATAAATGATATCTAAATAATGCTGTCATAAAGAACACATGAACAGATTCCTTCCATATTTAATGTGGTACACTGAACATGTTCTCTTAATTGAAGAGAAATGTATCTCTTCAAATTTTAAAAGTGACAGTCAAGAAAATGAAATACAGGGATTCACAGAGACAAAACAGGAGAGAATACAATAATCAGATGAACTGAACAAATATGAAAAACTTTAAAAGGAAGAAATCGGGGTTGAAGAGATGGTTTTCTAGTTAAGAGCACTTACTACTCTTCCACAGGATCCAATTCTGTTCCCAGTATCCATGTAGGGCAGCTCACAAAACCTTCAGTGCCAGCTCCAGGGAATCTAATACCTCTAGTCTCAGAGGGCACCTGTATGCATATGCAAATACTTCCCCTAACACATAATTCAAAATAAAAAAAAGTTTGTCGGGCAATCTTATCTGCTTCCAATTTCCAGGTGGATCTATATGTTTTCCTTTGGGTTCACCTTATTACTTAGCTTCTCTGGGATAATGAACTATAGGCTCAATGTCCTTTGTTTATGGCTAGTATCCATTAATGAGTGAGTACATACCATATTCATCTTTTTGGGTCTGGGTTATCTCACTCAGGATAGTGTTTTCTAATTCCATCCATTCACATGCAAAATTCAAGATGTCATTGTTTCTTTACCACTGAGTAGTACTCTAATGTGTAGATGTGCCACACTTTCTTTATCCATTCTTCCGTTAAGCGGCATCTAGGTTGTTTCCAGGTTCTGGTTATTACAAATAATGCTGCTACGAACATAGTTGAACAAATGCTTTTGTAGTATGATTGAGCATCTTTTAAGTATATTCCCAAGAGTGGTATTGCTGGATCCTGAGGTAGGTTTACTCCCAATTTTCTGAGAAACCACCACACTGATTTCCAAAGTGGTTGCACAAGTTTGCATTCCCACCAGCAATGGATGAGTGTTCCCCTTACTCTACATCCTCTCCAACATAAGCTACCATTAGTGTTTTTGATCTTAGCTGTGCTGACAGGTGTAAGATAATATATCAAAGTTATTTTGATTTGCATTTCCCTGATAGCTAAGGAAGATGAACATGTCCGTAAGTATCTTTTGACCATTTGAAATTCTTCTGTTGAGAATTCTCTGTTTAGTTCAGTACCCCCTTTTAAAATTGGGTTATTTATAATTTTAATGTCTAATTTCTTGAGTTCTTTATATATTTTGGAGATCAGTTCTTTATCTGATGTGGGGTTGGTGAAGATCTTCTCCCATTCAGTATGTTGCCCTTTTGTCTTATTGACTGTGTCCTGTGCTTTACAGGAGCTTCTCAGTTTCAGGAGGTCCCATTTATTCATTGTTGCCCTTACTGTCTGTGCTATAGGGGTTATACGTAGGAAGTGGTCTCCTGTGCCCATGCATTGAAGGCTACTTCACACTTTCTCCTCTATCAGGTTCAGTGTGGTCGGATTTATATTGAGGTCTTTGATCCATTTGAACTTGAGTTTTGGGCATGGTGATAGATATGGATCTATTTTCATTCTTCTACAGGTTGACATCCAGATATGTGGGGGGGGGGAAGGAAGCAGAGAAGGGGAAGAGAAGAGGAGAAGGGGAGGGTTGGGGAGAGCTTGAGGGAATGGGATAGTTGAGATGGAGGAAGGACAGATATGAGAGCAAGGAAAGAGATATCTTGATTGAGGGAGCCATTTTGGGGTTAGCAAGAAACCTGGCTCTAGAAAAGTTCCCAGGAATCCACAAGGATGACCCCAGCTAAGACCTTAAGCAATGAGGAGAGGGTGCCTGAACTGGCCTTGCCCTGTAGTCAGACTGATATTATCTTAAATATCACCATAGAACCTTCATCCAACAACAGGTGGGAACTGAGGCAATGACCCACATCGGAGCACTGGACTGAGCTCCCAAGGTCCAGTTAAGAGTGGAAGGAATATGAGTAAGGAATTCAAGACCATGAGGGGGTCATCCACTGAGACAGTTTGCTTGAGCTAATGGGAGCTCACCAACTCCAACTGGACTGGGAATGAACCAGCATGGGAACAACCAAGCCCCTCTGAAGGGGGTTGACAGCTGGGGCAGACTGAGGGGCCACTGATAGTGACACTGAGATGTGTCTCTACTGCAGATACCGGCTTCATGGGATCCTGTTCTCTTTGGATGTAAACCTTGCTCAACCTAGATGTAGTAGGGAGGGCCTTGGACTTTCCACAGGGTGAGGTGCATGGCACTTCCTTAGGGTTAGAGGGGTGGGGGGAGGGTATGTGGAGGGAGAGGGAGGGGACTGGGAGGAGGGGAGGGAGTGGGAATTTGGATTGGTATTTTTTAAGTAATAATACAAAAGGAAGAGAAAAAAAAAACCAGTAGCCACACTAGTTTGAAATAGAAACCGGGCAGTACACGCCTTTAATCCCAGTGTTATGCACCTTTAATCCCAGCACTAGAGAAGAATATGAAACATAAGAAGAAAGCTGTCAGACACAGTCTCATTCTGAGATTCATGGAGGCAGGATCACTATTTCAAACTGGGGTACAGTTAAGAGCCAGTGGCTGGCTGTTTTGCTTTTCATACCTTAGGTTGAACCCCAATTTCTGTCTCTGGGTTTTTATTGTGTTATGACTAGACACTTTCGTGGGACTTGGGAATGAAGGATAAAAGTAGCAAACTACTTTCAAGTCTCTCTGGATCCCTCTGTTGTCTCACTCTTGTCATTAGGTAATTAGCCTTTTCCTATCCCATCAGAAAACCGAGAATGTTTTCTGGAGTTGGGTGATCACTCAGTATTTGTTTTCAATACAGCAAAAGCTGAAATCTGAGATACCAAAATAAAAACAGGAATTTAAAGAAAGTTTATATGTTAAACTGGAAAACTCGTGGATTCTATTTTTACATATTAATGTCTTTTACTTATCATACAAAATAATGGGTTTCATTATGACATTTTTAAAGATATAGAAACTGAACTTATCCATCACCCTATTACCCCATCTCTCCCCCCCATCATTTCCTTCTGGTCTTTGTCCCCATTCCAAATTTTATATATATATTTATTTTTTTTTTAACATTTGTTTCATCACTTATGAGAGATACATTTTTTTTAAGTTCAAGAGAACAAATCTACACATTCACAAGTAAGACAAACCCTGTTTATAACTAAGATTTCAAAACAGTAGCACCTTTTAGATACAAACTGACATTGAGGAATCTTCTCCGTATAGGAAGAAAGTCTTTAATACAAAAGACAGAAAATGTGCCAGGCATGGTGGTAGAATTCCTGTACTCTCAGCTTTCAGGAGGTAGAGATATGAAGATTGCTAGTTTGAAACTAGCCTGCCAGTTTGAGTTCAAGGCCAGCCTGAGCCACACATCAAGATCCCATTCCCGGCAAAAATAAGGCCACGATATAACCACTGGTAAGGGCAAGCCAAGGAAGGTCTGAGGTTCAATCCCAGAACTACAAAACAAAATAAGCCAGACTGAAACAAAGAAGAGGATGTCTTTAAGAAAAAAGAATGACCTTACAGCAGCCGAACGCTGTGACAATGAGTCAGGCTGAGAGGAGTGGTGTACTAAGTGATAGCCAGAGTGCAGAAGCCAGAACACAAACATATAAACATATTAGAAACGAGGCAATCAAGTTTTGGACAAGCAACATGTACAAGAAAGGAAATATAATACATCTCTTGGCTCACCACCAATTCAAACAAAACTAACCATAATAAATAAAAATGTATAAGTCTACATTGGAAGAATAGAAGGGAAGGTTGAGCATGTGAGAGAGGAATAACTGAAGAGAAGAAAATAGATAATTAACAATCTCTAAACATTTTCAGTAGAAGCTCCACAAAGAACAGTAAATTAAAAACTAGTGGTTCTTGAAGAGTAGGGACGACTTGCCACGCTAAATCAAGGAACCATATTTAATATATTATAAACTGTGTGGATAGATATAGTGTTTATAATCATATAAATATGTTTCTGTAATAAAAATAAAGTTATAAGTGAATGATGTTGGTCTGGTTGAGACTCAGTATCACACATAGGATGAAAACAATCTAGAACAGGCAAGTCTCTTTGTTCTAGCTTGACACCTCAGCTTGAGCATTGCTTCGCCTCTATTTGGGTTCTGGTTGTCTTTTGATTCATTTGACAGGTTACATATGATACCAACCTGCAGAGATCTGTCTGTGGATAGGAGGCAGAATCAAATACCAAAAGGTGATAACTGATATTAAGTGACACAATAGAGTTAGTAAAACTAAGATAAGCAGAAAAATAGTAGGATGGGATGCACGGCTATAAAGTGCAAGTGACTTTGTTTTGAATAAAAGTAGAACACAGACCTAAAGTCTACAATAGTCCTTAGCCCAGGTAGGCAGTAGCACGCTATGATGTAGACATAACCCCAGCTGATCCTACGCTCAGCAAGGGTAATGTTCTGTTGTCTGGACTCCAGGCTAATTTCTTTGTGCCATCTCCCCTCAGTACTTCAAATTCAAAGCCTGGCAGCTCAAGGGAGAAGGGGTATACCCTAGCTCTCAGATGTAGTTTCCAGAACTACATTCAAATAAAGAATTGTTGTCAGCATCATCATTAATATTATAGTTATTAAAGCCGTAAACCCTGTCTGTGCAGAACTACACATAAGAAAGGGAGTATTTTAGATTTCCTGACCCCAAAGTTATTCTCTAATAGAGGCACATGTTCACAAGGCTGCTCTCAGCTAGATAAAAAATTTCAAATGCCAGCCTGGGGTTTAGGACATGTAGAGGGCACTGCCAGATTTCAGATTCTGGAGGTCATGTACTCGCTTTAAACTGGGGCTGCTGAATCCCATACCCTAGGCAGTAATGGCCACTTGAACACAACCCCCAGAAAAGGAGAAGTCTATTGGTAGCTGTGGATGCAGACTTCCTTTCCTGTGTATGAAGCCAGCACTCTGTTTCCTACCTTGAGTTCATCTTTGCTCTGGAAGTTGTCTAAAAGGTGTTGGTAATGGGTGTCACACATCTGACGGAGCAATGAGAGGAGGCAGGACACATATTCACCCTGGGAACCAATTCAAAACAAAAACAAAACCAAAAACACTTAGCACAGTCAGTCACAGGGGCTTTGTTCTCCAAATCACAGAGGGTAAGAAGAAAAGGGAGGGTTTGAGATGGCCCCAAATGTTCATGGAGAAAGGTGACAATTAAGTTCTTGAAAATCAACTTTTTTTTCTAGGAGTGCTTTGGAATTTTAATGAAGCTTCTGCAGCACAGGGTTATTAAAAAGCCTTCACTTATACAGTACTGCAAAGTGAAGTATTATCATTTTTCTACAGCGAAGTCTAGCTAAATAGTCTTTAATCTCCAGATATGGGAGGTGAAAGTTCATAGACACAGTCTTATCCTGAGATTTCTGGAGGAAGGATCACCATTTTGGATTGAGGTAGAGGTAAGATCCAGGGGCTAGCTGTTTTGCTTTTCTGACCTTCAGGTTGAACCCCAAATTCTGTCTCTAGGTTTTTATTATTTGTGCTACATTTGGTGCCCAACATGGGGCTCAAACCAATGACCCTGGGATTAAGAACCCCATGTTCTACATGTTCTACCGACTGAGCTAGCCAGGAAGGGCTAGGGCCCCATGTGCAGCTCTGGTGGGAGCCCCACCTGCAGCCCTGGTCTGTGTTGGTGGCTAAAAAGCCTCAGGAAAATGGCTTTTTCGTGAAATTTTACCCCAAAATAAAATCCTAGAGAAGAATATAAGATGGGAGGAGACATCTCACAGACATAGTCTCATTCTGAGATTCCTGGAGACAGATTTGCCAGTTTGGACTGAGGTCGAGGTAAGAGTCAGTGGCTGTTTGCTTTTCTGACCTTCAGGTTGAACCCCAATTTCTGTCTCTGGGTTTTTATTATTCAAGCTACACATCAGAATACAGTAAGTAATACAGTAAGTCTGTACAGGCTACTTGGAAAAGGAGCCTCTCTTTCTCTGAGTTTGGATCATCTGCTGGGAGAGGGCAGACATCCAACAAGGACTTTCTGGGGAAGGGCAGTTCAACTGGAAAAATGGGATATAGGTGATCAAAGGAAAGGCAAAAGAATCAAAATTGATCTTTGGGAGGGAACAAGCAATGAACTTCAATGCATGTTTAAGTATGATGTTGAGTCTTTTAAGCCAACCAGGATACATTAAAACACCACCACCACCACCACCAAAAACCCAATGTTTTAAGGTTTCCAAAGACATGATATGTCAATTACTGGCATGGTTCTTAAAAGGCTGTCTCTTCAGAAAGGAAAAACTATTTTATTTAGATAATTTTCAAGTATTTCTAAATTCATGGACATTTTCAGTAGCCTTTAAATTTATCAAATTCTTTCTAGAGTCCTGAAACTACACAAAAATCTATATATGTATATGAACTTCAGTTTTATATGAAAATGAGCATAAGACATCATAATTAATTTGCTGTAGGGGTCAGATGAGTTTGTGTGTGTGGGACAGCATTGAAGCACAAAATCAAATACATAAAAGGTACCCAACAAATCACAGTTATCATAATCTACGGAAATGGATGGATTAATTAGTAACATCTGTTAAAGGCTTAAAGTAGGGTCAGATCACCTAGTAAGGGCTGTGTAAGTGTTGATTAAAAGGCTGGGCTACCACGACATGTCAGGAGACAGTTTATCTACAATGAGAGTGCCCTCAACAGGGGCTTCAAACTAAAATCTCACTAAATTCTTCTTATGGGATTTTACATACATTCTTTCACTGCTCATTTAGGTCACTATTGTTCTAAGCTGAAGTTCTAAATTTCTCTTTAAGACAGTCCATTTAAAAAGAACTGCTTAATACAGTTATCATGTCAGCCCATAAATCTCAAGCTTCTTTCATCGCCACTTGAGTCATGGACATACTGACGACAAATTAAAAGTCCCTCATCTGAAATCTTCAGCATCTGAATTGTTGAAGCTTACTTCAGGTTCCGCTTTAGAACAGATGGACGGTCTGATGTTCAATCCAGACATCCTACTTCTTATAACACAAATGAGTTCCTGATTATGTCTATTCCTAGGATGTCACACTGAGGAATACTACAGACCTGTGCAATAGACAATGACTATAGTTAAAAAAAAAAGACCAAGTCTTATATTTTTCAACAGGTGCTCATAATGAAGGAGACACCTTTTCCAGAATGAATGGCCCAAAACACATGCTCACCATGGCATGCTAGAGTTTGGCTTGTTCCTAGAGATGACTTTTTCAAAGACAGTTCTGTAATCTCTCATCTGTCAACTGAAAGAGTTTGTAGAAACTGTTTATCATGTTATCACACAAGGGCTGGACAATTCACTCTGGATATGCAACTGGGATTGGGTGCCAAGGGTTCTGCCTCTATCCCATCTGAGATGCTTTCCTAGTTTGTTTCTCTCCACTACATAGCAATACCATTGATAGTCTACCATATTATAATTTCCTTGATATTATAAATTTAGATACAGATACTATGGACTAAATCAACTAATCTGTAGACCCAAGAAAATTATTCTGTCCTATATACTATTATTTAGGAGAACTATAAGTAAGGTTTCCTACAGGGCACAGCCTGCCTATCTTTTATCTTTAGTCTTTCCCTACAGTTTTACTGTATCCTGCTTCAATCAAAATTTATAGAAAGTAACTTAGCTTAAAGGCAAAGACCAACTGAAACTATGGTAAGGAAACCGTACAAGAAGCATTCCTTGAATCTTCCTTAAACTAGGCTCCTGGGAGTACGAAACTAGAGCTTTCAGAGAGGAGGGGAGTAAGACTCAAGAAAGAAGAGGGTGGCATGCTGACAACCATGCAGGGAGGAAACGGAGATGAAAATGGTGAGATGGTGGGACAAGAGTGATGGGAGGAGCCCCAGGTTAGAAAAGAAAGCAAGAACACCTCAGTGTTAGTTACTAACAGTGATCTCGGCTGTGCACTGCGGGCACCGTTGCCCTCTTACCGCCTCCTGAGCATGTGATTTACTCATGATGGTGAGCAGAGTCTGTAAGAGCACATCCAGGAGGCTTTCCACCATCATCTCTACCTCCTCCATGACATCTGCCTCCTGGAGTGAGCAGGGAGAAAGCACACCATTAGCATTAGGCGAAGCAGATGCTCGGGTAGCAGCACTTACTGAGCCACATCAGGAATGAGCTCCTGACTAGATCTCCAACACTGATCTCTCAGACTCACCAAGATGAAGTGTGCAAGGAACCCAGGTTTTGGGAGGAGATGAGGCATGCCTGCCTCTGCTGTCTAGGCATGGTAGCTCAGGTCTTGCCTTTCCTAATGCCACCCACAAATTTCAATCTCAGGCAGACAAATTTTAACATACATGACAGAGATAGTTGCCCTGAGTTAAAAGTTCTCTTTGGTTTCCTTAGTATAGTGGAAAGCAAGCAAGCCTCTACCAGCACTGTGAGAATGGTAAAGCTGCACCCCTGAGTGTGGCAGAAACTTTTTCACTAGTACAGGCACCTTTTTTTTTTTTTTAAACGAAGTTCTTTCCTTTCATTTCTTTTTTTTCCCCACTGCTCTCAATTTTTTGCAAACCTCTTCTGTGGCCATTTCTAGCTCCTCAGTCTGTTGCTGTTCCCAGCTCATCTGAAAGTCTCTATTCTCAATCTATCTTTCTCTAACAGCTTTATAAACTAGAACATACCCTCCTATTACAGGCTACTTTTCAGTTACTAGAATTTTAGAAGAGTTTGTATTACCCTTTCGTAGACATCACACAATCATTTCAAATTTTTTAGAATTTGTCTCTCAAAGATATTCCTATTGACCCTTTCTTCAAAATATATTTTAAACATATTTTTGTGTCTGTGTGGTGCACATGTATGCACCATTACCACCTCCACCACCACCACCTCCTTCATCATGAGACCAAGTTTTCAACTGAACCTAGAGTTTGCCATTTCATCCAGAATGGCTAACCATCAAGCCTCCTGGATCTTCCTGTTTCTCCATTCATTCCCTCCCGCCCCCCAGTGCTGGGTTTATGGATATTTGCACCATTATACCAGTTTTTATGTGGTGCTAGAGATCCAACTTCATGCCTTTGTGCCAAAGCGAGCACTTTAAACACTGAGCCATCTTCCCAGACCTTCAAAAATATTTGTATTACCACTGATCATAATACTCACCCTCTAAGCAGATATCACCGTCACACATTCACTGTCTGAGAACCTGACTATACTGAGATGAACTAGAGAGAGAATGTCTCTGATCTCACAGAACTTAAATTTACCTGTTCATCAAATATAATTATTCTGTCCCATTTCACATGAGGAATTAGTTCTGGGGGATAAAGTAATCTTTCCCTTTATCAAAGTCCTTATAACACCCTTTTCCTGTGATAAAGGTTCGAGAAGTTGCAGTCAACTAATTATACTCAGCTCTATATTCCTCCAAATACAACCAAACTACATCTTTCTGGTTTTTCACTAAATTTCATTCTTTCCTTTAAAAAATTCTTCAATTTCTCCCCCCTTTTGTTTTATCAATAAGCTACCTCATACATGACTTTGGTCTACTGTAGATATTATGTACTTGGTATAGCTTCTGTGAGGTCTGGTGGGAAAGAGAGTTGTCAGGTCTTGTCTGGAGCAAAAAGCAAACAACTGGGTCACTACAAGCAGAATAGTCACTTTCTGGTAAGTTGGCCCTCTGTCATTAGATGGTACTTTAATTCAGGACAGTAGAGCTCCCTTTTGGGTTTTTGTCTTTTGCTCCAACGAGGAATGCCTTTGTTTTAGGTGCCTCTTTTGCTCTACCTAAGCAATCTAGCTTTGTATGTTATCACCTAGACCACGTTCTTTAATTTAAATGCTCTTTGAATTTTATTCTAGGAGCATTGACTTTAAAACATCATATAACAAAATCCATGCTTATTCTTCATTATATTTATAGTTTTCCCATCCACTAATTTTCTATAATATGTATTTCTTCTATTATAAGTATACAAAATAGTGTGAAAATAAATTCTACTCTCACCCATGCCTTTACTTTTCTCCTACCTCCATCTCTTTCCTTTTACCACATATTTCCTCAAAAAAAAAAAAAAAAAGAGAAAAGAAGATGAAAACATTACTAGTTGAAACCTGACCTCTAAAGAATGATTCTACATCCCACAGGGCTCAGCACTCTGTGGGTAGCATACAGCTATAGCATATCCTGACCTCATCTGGCAAGATGTAAAGGTGCGATGGGTAAAATCAAGCTGTCTGAAAGCTGAAAGAAAAGTCTGAATAAGCAAGCTTCCTCTGCCCTCTAGGCTGGATTTTTCTCCTGATATTTGTACTTATAATCCTAAGAAAACTCACAAGAATCCAGAATTAATAACTGTTGATAGAAACAGAAGATGGAACATGACTGGCTTTCTGATGCAAGGGAAATTATATATCTGTATTCATTTATAGTAGTATAGCAGTTAATAGACCAAGGGTGTATCATATTGAGAATCCCGTGGGCATACACAGACTTCCATTCATTTGGGTACTTTCTTTTCACCAATAAAAGCATCTCTGACTGAGAAGTGAACAAAGTGATCAGTGTGGGTCAGCTCCTGACTACAGTATCATAAGATCAGGGCAGAGACAAGTGTGGACGAGTGTGGGGTCACTACCAGAGAGCTGGTCTTGACGATGGAGAAGATACTGCCCAGAATTCCTGAGCAGATTAGCAGCTCTTTCTGCTGCCTCAGGTGAAGATGAATGTGATGAAGAACCACAGGAAGCAGGATGCGGCGGGATTCTAGGAAAGAAAACAGAGATGAGGTTGTCCGTTGGAGGACAGCTGACTACTGCTAGAAGAAAGCGGCACTGTGGGACGTAAAGGAGAATGAGATTAGGAACAGAGTCACAGTAGAGGCTACCCCTCTAAAAGTCTAAACATCTCGTGACTAGAAATTATAAGCAATCCTGTGGTTCTCTATCTTTTTTTCCTGCATCATTGTTTTAGACTCCTACACTATAACATTTGATATAAGTATAAGTTTGCTTCCAAATGATATCTTTTAATGTTAAAGCACCAAATTAAAAGTAGTTAGTTTTAGCTGGGTGGTGGTGGTACGCTCCTTTAATCCCAGCACTCAGGAGGCAGAGGCAGGAGGATCTCTTTGATGTGAGCTTGGTCTATGAAGAGAGTTCTAGGACAGCTAGAGCTGTTACAGAGAAGCCCTGTTTCAAAAAACAAACAAACAAAAAATCCCAAACCCCAAACAAACAAAAACCAAAACCTCAAAACAAACAAAAAAGTAGTTTATAGTAAAAAATCCATGTAATATCACACTTACCATGAACTACAATGACTAGATTATGTAGGCTTACTAGAAATTTCTAACTGCTCCTCTTCATGCCATGACTAAGTAGTTTAACATTCCTGTTCTGGTATGCATTCACCTTGTCAAACCATCTGGCTTGTCTCTTTATCATGGGCTTGTTAGACTGCTATTGGCAACGGATGGAATAGAAATGTAACCGTAGCCTGTCACAGCCTTTGAACTCTTATGTCTATCCTACTGTATACATTTAAATATCTTCCTTTTTCTTCTTCATGTTACCGGAATAGCACACCATGAAGAGGAAACCATGTTTGGAATCCCTAATTCAGACAGGCTGAATGATATTTAAGATCCCACAGGCTTGATTTTCCCCTGTGTAGAATGGGATGTTAAAGGCCTTTTCTACTAAATAAAATACAAGTGTGAGTATGTTTCTGTTACCCCAAACTTCTGCGTTCAGTAACTGTGCATCCCTGCACATACTGTCCTATCTGTCCATAATTATTCAGTTGGATTAACAACAACACAAGCCATGGAAAATATAAGTTATTATTTACATTAGACCATAGTTCCAAATGAATTTCAGAAATAATTTCTTTCATTTTTATTTTATGCATATGGGTGTTTTGTCTGCATTCCACATATATGCAGTGCCTACAGAGACCAGAAAAGGAGACTTCTCTTTCATTTCCCAGCCGCCTAGATCTGAAATAATCACACAAAACTACCTTAATTGCAACACTGCTTGGCCTATTATCTCAGGCTTCTTATTAACTAACTCTTACATCTTATATTATTCTGTGTATCGCCATGTGACTGTGGCCTACTGGTTAAGATTCCATCTGGTGTCTATCTCCTTCGGCAGCTACATGGTGTCTCTCTGACTCGACCCCCTCTTTTCTCCTCTATCTCTGCTTGGGATTCCCTCCTTGCTCTATTCTTCACTGCCATAGGCCCAAAGCAGCTTCTTTATTAACCAATGGTAATAAAACATATTCACAGCATAATACAGAGGGGAATCCTACATCACAGGATACTGGATTTGCTGGGATTGGAATTACAGATGGTTGATGCTGGAAACTGAACCCAGGTCATCTAGAAAAGCTGTCAGTAAACCATCTCTCCAGATATAAAAAAAATTAAGCCAAAGATAAATTATTTGGTATATGACATTTTTATATTGTTTTATCAAATATTTATGATGTATTAACAAAACAGGGTGATAGCTGTTCTATATTTAAAAGGATGTATGGATAAAAAAGTTAATAGTATATTTTAGATCAAAAGACAAAAACAGCTGGATTTATAACAAGCAATAGTTGCTTTCAATAAATTATCAGTTTGTTGTTAGAACATGACAAAGATATCAGATTGGTATGCTCAGAGAATATAAGGATTGGTTATATGACATCATTGGCAAAGAGCATCTATAGCTTAACACTGAATTAGAATAAAATACAATTGAAAATTTGGTGATGAATTATCATAAAGTCTAATTATATAGTCCAACATTACATGAGTTTTAAGAAACAAATTCTTAAGTGATTGTGTACAGCAGCTGAACACACACAAAAATAACAAATAAAAGATGTCAGTGAGAGCAGTGGGCTATTTCATTTTCTGTATTTTTGAAAGCCCTTTTTTCAGAAAACACATAAAGTAAGAGTTATAAGCAGTGGATTTTAGGAACAGTGTCCAAATCACTGACAAAAGTTTTCAGTCTGAGGCAGAAGAGAGGAGTTTGCCAACAACAGTTACTGGAGAGGGCTGACTTCTTCAATGGCAGTGTTACCGTCACTGCTCTGCACTGGTAGAGCTGAGTTGTAGGAACACCTCCTTAGTATTCCAAGCATATACAGCATTGAACTAAAATTTGTTCTTATATTTTGAAGTCAAACTTTAAAAATTAACATGTAAAATTCCAATGATGAAGATCCAGATAGCTGATGCTTCAGATTTATTCTTGTGCTTGGAGGTTTATTCTAAAACACTGGTATCCTACTTATATGATCAGGCTTATATTCGAATCAGCTGAAAGGCTGAACTTGACCAGAAGCAATATAGTTTCAAGGATAAATCCAAAAGCTCTTTCTGAAAGGTATCCTAGACTTCTGATTTATCAGTCAGGTTGTGAGGACCTCTAGGGATTATGAAACCCTTTCTGTACACTTCTATCTTAAAAAAAAATGGAAAAAAAATCTGACTGCTGAACTAAAGAAATAAGCAAGCACAGGGTTTCCCAGGTTCCCTATCAGGGTCTTTTTAACTTTCTTGGCTCGTCCTTATATTCCTGGACTGGACCCTTTTCTTTTGTTTTCTCTCCTTCCCCTTTGTACTTCCATCTGACTGCTGCTTTGATAGGATCCCATAGCCAGCACACCACTGTACCTGAGGCCTGGAGACAAAGGGCCTCCTGCTACAAACCTAGTGTTCATGTCCCTATCAAATTCATACATTGAAACCTAATCTCCAATGTAACAGCACAAGGAGTGGGGTATTTTCTGGTGATAAGGTCATGAGGGCCTTATCCTTATGAATTAAATTAGTGCCTCATCTCCCCTTTGAGACAGGGTCTCATTATACAATCTGCCTGGCTGGAACTTGATATGTAGACCAGGGTGGCTTTCAATGCACAGAGATCTGCTGGTCTCTGTCTCCCAACTACTGAGATTAAAAACATGTCTCCTTAAAACGAGATCTCAGAAAGTGTTCTTGCTCCTCCTGCAAGGTGATAAAACAGAGAAGAGAGATTCCTATGAAACAGGAAGTAGGTTTAACTAGACAGCAAGTCTACTAGAATCTTGATCCTGGACTTTCTAATCTTTAAAACTACAAAAATTAAGTATTTGTGCCTTTTTTCTTTTTTGAGACAGCTTTCCGTTTAACCCGGGCTGACTTCAAACTTGCTATGGAGCTAAAGATAATCTTTATTTCTTTTTTTAACTTTTTAAAACTATTCTTTAAGTTTCCATTTATTTATTTATTTATTCATTTTTTTTGTGTCATGCATCTTCATTCCATTCATTTCCCCATCCTTTGAATCCACCTTTTGCCCCTGCAGCCTTCTCCCCACCAAAATAAAATGAAATTTGATAGAAAATTAAAGAAGTAAAAAGAAAAAAAAAGAAAAGGAAAAACCAATCTCATCATGGAAGCTGTAGTGTGATCCAGTGAGTCACACAGTAAATCCTTTAATCCATATGTCTTTATTTGCCAGTATATATTGCAAAGAGTCTCGAGACCTCTGGTTTCTTCTACACTATTGATGTTGGGCCCTCACTGAAGCTCCTCTTGTTTATCCTGCTGTTGCCCTGTGTTTGGGAGATCCCGTAGCTTTGGGTCTGCAGAACCAGTCCCTTGACTGCTCCAGCAGATCACAGATGGGTGATGTTGGGATGGGCCAACTCATAACCCTGGTTCTGGACCTAGGTAGTTGCAGCGTTGGTCATCCCACCAGCTCTCCCTTGTCCTCACCACCAAGGTGAGCTCTTATGCACGGCCCTGGCTATTTTACCCCTTGCAGTAATGAACAAGGATGGGGCCAGTTCTCCTGCTTTCAGGTCCCCAGGGTTGGTTCTTCTACACCTACATCTTCTAGATCAGCTCTACTGTATTGCTCAGGCATGGCCAGGGGCCACTCTCATATGTGCTGCAGCTGATGAAGGTCAGGGCCAGCTCTCCCATTCTTTATGACCTCAGGGCCAGTTTCCCCAAATGCCTCAGGTGTTGATGGGGGGCATGTTTCCCCTGTCTATGCTGCCACATGACAGATAAGAAATGGGACAGTTCTCCCACGCACACAACTTTGGGGCTGCCTCACCTACAACCTTTATTTTCATGTTCTGAAAATAAAGCGTGTGTTCTCATGTCCAGATTCACACACACACACACACACACACACACACACACACACACACACACACACCATTTTACTGTCACAGCATGAGCAGACTGACACAACACCCCAGGAACATGCCCTAAGGCATGGGCTCTTAAAAGCAAAATGTGAAAGAAGCAGTGGGTCTAGGTCTTAGTTGAATTTCTCACATAGTTTACTAAAATATCTACACTTTAAGGCTCACTGGCTTCTTACATAATGACTGTTAAACTGTTACTTTCATCAGTTTAAACTTGGCTACCACCCTGGAAGGGAAGAAATAAAATATGACTCTTGAATTTACCGGAGAAAGAAAACAGGCGACTGTCTACTGTCCTGGCAATGGACTGCAGCTTCACCACATCCATTGACTGTCCAATGTGCACAGTGCTAGGCATGCTTCCCAGGGTTCCTCTCACAAACTCTGCTACCTCTTGCACGGTAAACATTTGCAGCAACTCGTCAAAGATAGTGGGGAAAGAATTGAGTAGTGCAGCCTGTGGAGCAAGTAGAACTGTGGTTAGTTCAAAGGTATGCGGCCGAAAGAGTTTCAGAAGGCCCACAGCACCTGACTTGAGAGGGTTCTTCCCTGGCCTTTGACTCTACTCATCCCTATAGCACTCTTGGAGCATAGGGACAGAAAATCCAAAAATTAAACCAGAAAATTTTACTAGGGCTCAGGCCATTTGAGGCTTTCAAAATTTGCCAAGTATCTGCAGATGAGAGAAGGAAGGATGAAGAGAACTTCACACAATGTAGCATATGACAAAGTTATTTTTCCTCAGAGCATAGATTTAAACTTTTAATATTTATGATTAAGCTCTTGACTTCTCAAGTTTAGTTTCCAACTCAAGCCAGAAACCTCTAAGAAAGGGAAAAGTAACTGAAGGTTGAGTGCTTTAAGCAGTGCCGGCTGGACTCCATCAACAGCAGTGACCCAGCTTTAAGAACTAGACCATTTTCCAGGGATAGTGATGTTCGTATGTAATCATGTCATCTGAAGAATACATAATTTTCTCACATGTGATCTCTGGCAGTCTCAAGTATAAATTCAAAAGTATGGGAACATATGTATTCATTTAGTTATAAACTCTCGAGGGCTACTGATAACATTGACTTAGAATTCAGTGACTCTGTTGGCCCAAACAAGGAGGGGAGTAGGGAGGGAGAGGGTAAGGGAGGGAGAGGGAGTGAGAAAACACATGTGCACATGGGCTTCTAGGATCTGAGCTCTGGAAGCAAGATGTGGTCTCTTAAGAAAAATGTAATAGCTTATTTTATTGAGGTGGGGAAAGCATGATGGCATTAGTAGTTTTATTTGTTCATTCATTTGAATCACATTTATTTATTTAGTGGGGAGCACATGCTCATGTGGAGGGCAGAGGACAGCTTATGGGAGTTGGTTCTCTTATTTCAGCATGTGGGACCTGGAGATCAAACTCAGGTCATCAGGGTTGGCATCATGAGCCTTTACCTGCAGAGCCATCTTGCTGCCTCAATCTGATAATACTGATCCATAATTTTTGAGAGGCAGAACACTATAGGAGAAAAATGATAGATTTTTAAATTAGACACATATGAGTTCAAATTCCAGCTTTAAGCCAGGTGTGGTGTTTCATGTCTGTAATTTTAGCTATTGAAATTTAGGCAGGAGGTTGCAAGTTTAAGACCAGCATGGATAACACAATAAGACTCAATAAAAATAAATAAATTATCAGTTTTATCATTTGTCTGCTATATGCTTGATGAATTGCCATAATCTTTGGTTTTCTCATTTATAAAATGGGTATGATGCTATTATTGGCATATGGAAAAATTAGGCACATTGTTTTCATCAGTGTTCTAGAACACAACAGGTCTTCAATAAGTGCTATGTGCTTTGTATGCTAATTATCAACTTGCCAAAGTATAGGATCACCTGGGAGAAGGATCCCTGGGCATGCCTTTGAGAGATTATCTTGATTATGTTAAATGATGTGGGAAAACCATCTTTATTGTACGCAGGACTATCCCTTGGGCAGGGGATCCTGAACTGCATAAACAAAGGGGACTGAGCCACAGTATGCATGCACTGCTCTCTGCTTCCTGACTAGGGACGGAATGAGGAGCTGTTTCAAGCTCCTGCTGCCTTGAAACACTGTGATGAACTGTGTGCTGAACTGTGAGCAGAACAAAACACCTTCTTCCTTAAGTTGCTTTTGTGACAATACTTTACCACAGCAGCAAGAAAAGAAGCAAAGATGAGATGGCTCCTATTTTCTTCCTGTATTTATTCAAAGAGCCATGAAGGAAGCCTTTTGGGCTTCTTAGTCTTCTTACACCACTAATCCAAACAAGATTCATGAAGGAAAATAGAAGCGACACTTTAAGAACAGAAGGTAACAGACTACGTTTAACAAGTGAGGTGGAGCTGGGGGAAGACCTTTTTATTCAATGATTCCTCAAGCAGTAGATAATGGCATAGAGTAAATTTACATCATGGGAAAGCCGGCATTCCTGTCTTTTAAGTTAAGGCCAGATTAAAATGTGGAATTCATATGAAATCTGTCTTCAGACTAATAAATATCAAGAAAATTGTTTTACAGCAGTTAAAACCAGTATACACACATATAGGCAATTCAGATAAAAAAGACAAAATGGGAAGGGGGTTAATTATGTCATACTCAAGTAAGAACACTGTAGCTGATTTCTTTCCTTAAATGGTGAAATTTCCTACAATTATGCACCAGAACAGAAAGACACACTCTGACAACTTCTGATAGTCATGATCAACGATAAAAGTCCGATTCAAAAGCAAATTTTCCAAGAGTTCTGGAATTCGTGAAACATATGCTTGGTAGCATAGAACCAAATTTGAACCCTAAACATAACTGAATTGATACTAGGACTACCAGGTCTAAGCTATCTAGCGTTATGTTTTCCCCAATAACCCAAGGGTACAGCAGATGAAACACAGTGTTTGACCAGGAACAAAAGCTGGTTCTTCCAGAACAATTTGATAAGTGCACCACTGTTTGTACAAAGCATCGACAAGTACCCAGAAAGCATGTCTACCCTCCTCTGTTAGCTACCTTCAATCTCCCTGTAACTCTTTTTGGATAGAGAAGCTGCAGGTATCCTTGGCCCCTATTAGAAGGAACAGATAAACTGGGGAAACCCAGAGAGAAAAAGCAGTTTCTTATGGCACTTTTAAAGTGAGCTCATAGAAGGAGTTTCCTTAGAGAGACTCTTGAAACCTTGAGGATTCCTTTATAGCATGTAGCTTCCAGATGATCACCTGCTCTTTGGCCAAGAAACCTATACACAATTAATTGGCATATAGAGACAATATAGAAACAAGACAAATAATAGACTAAGTTTAGAATAAAGTAGGACAAGGCTTAAACATACAGGCTGACTAATAATAGCACATGCGGTCATTGATGGGCAGACATAAAGAAGCTATCTGATCTTTGTTGACAGATTTTGGCATAACTGGCTTCAAGCAGCCAGAAAACTAAAATCCACTAGGTAAGAGCTTACTAATTTGATAAGAGAAAACCACAACCCTTATGTGTATGGAATAATGAATGTTTTATTTATTATAGCACAGGTCTGCCTGGTAAAGGTAATAGATTAGCTGGTTAGGAAATTTTCAAAGGAGGAAGGAAATTTCTTTCTAACATTGATATTTCTGATAGAATCTAGCTCTCATTCTTAGTGCATTCAGTTATTCCTATTAGGTTTTAATTTATCTCATTCTTAACATTTGTAATAGAAAGTTATAATAAAAAATTAACTAGGAAATAAAATTCCCTATATATTTTAAATATCCTCCATGAATACAATGCTCATAACAATTATAGGATGGTAATTAGTAAACTTGATCTAAAGAGAGTTCATAATAACAAAGTTCTGCTGCTTTTCTAGTATAAAGACACTAAGCTCTTTCAGACCTCATAGCTGAGGCAAAGTTGGCTTTCCTTTGTTCTACTAAGTATTTACTTGTAATTCACTTCTTTCCCAACACAGAGACTCTTGTCACAGTTTCATCAATTCTAGAAATCAAAGAAACCACCTGCTAAAATGAAGAACTCTAGCAGCAACACCTCCCTCCACAGGAGCTATAGATAGCTCTTCCAGAATGAGACTCTCAATAGTAAGGCATGGATGGAGGAGGCTTTTTGGGGGGGGTGTTTCTACCTCTCACGACTAAACTACTTGCTACTAATGAGTGGTTCAGAGAAGAGCAGAAGCCACTGCCTTCAGTTATGTATCCATTGGACACATCCCCAGGCTCTGATGGTTCCAATCCAACAGTTACACAGATGGCCATGACTAAACTGAATGGGCTACAAAGCCAAGCCAAGAGTCAGGAATCTCAAAAAGGGACTGGCCGAGAAGAGCAGAAAGTTAATGAGGGAAAGGAGATAGAAAAAGGCTTGGGGAAAGAGTAATCAGAAGTTATTATAAATGAAATTATCAAAGAAGTAATTTAACTCAGGAAATTTCCCAAATAACACAACAACAATAGCAACAAGAAACCCCATACTATTTCCCCACAGTCCACAGACCTGAGTGAAGAGGAGTGTTTCCGAGTTTCTACTGTCCAGACTCAGCACAAACCGAATGGACTGGAAAAGCTCTTGGATGCTAGACCGGAACTGTTCCTCTTCCATCCCACAGGTGGCTCTTGAATACAGGATTCGTGACTGCACAATGAACTTGAAAAGGTATTCCAGGGCCTAAAAATGCAGGAGGAAAAGGAATGGTGAGACATTGCAGATGGCTAGGAACTCAAGTAACAAGAATGTAAGGACAAAGAAACAGAAAAAAATATCAGGTGACAGGTGATTGTAGACCTCTTTGGGTGGGTTACTCAGTCTAGGGGTTGTAACCCACCCTGCAGTCAGTTATTCCAGGGTCCCGGAGAGGCACTATCTGGAAGATATAGGGGGAAAGAGGAAGAAGGCTAGGCAGATTTGTCGAAGCCTCCGTTTATTAGAGACAGGTTTACAGTTTATATAGGGTAAGGAATTGGGGGGGGGGCACAGGGGCCTGGACTCTTGTCGCGTGGTTCACGTTGGTCATGTAGGCCAGGAGGTTACATTTGGTCAGGTCACGTAGGCCAGGAAGTCACAACTAGGAGTTGACACACCTAGTTCTCTAGATAGTTTGGAATGTGGGGCGGGTTCCGCTAACAGATAGCTCTCCATTAACAGCCAATTTAGGTGTGAGGTAGGCTCTGTCAATAGAATGATTCCTAACACAATTAGGGGTGTGGGGTTCTCCCAAAACAATATAGGCTATTACCGTTGACCTTGGCTGCCTCTCAGAACTTGAAGATAAGACTCTATTGCTGGAGACAATAGACTTGAAGGAGCTGTGTGCCTTAAATCCCAGCACTTGCAGAGGCAGGCAGATCTTTGTGAGTTCAAGGCCAACCTGGTTTACAAGAGCTAGTTCCAGGACAGGCTCCAAAGCACAGAGAAATCTTGTCTCAAAAAAGCCCAAAAACAAACAAACAAAAAAGACTTGAAGGAACAGATAGAACTAGCTGGAAGCCACCTTCCTGAGGACTAACTGTCATAGGGGCTATGCAAGCTGTCAAAGGAGAAAAGCAATAAATAGTCCTGTTCAGCTTTAAAGTCTATGACCCACAACAATGACCAGCCCAGCACAATATTCCCATTGGTGTAATTAATAGTAGCACTTCTATCTGGGATGTAATCAACAGCTGTCTAACTAGACTTGGGCCCACTCAATAGGAGGGAATTCATGCTTGGTACTGTAAACCCAGTCAACTACTCAAGGCTGAAGAGGTCATGGGCCCTAGAGGAGAGCCTACTACTGCTACTTTTCTAAACCAGCATAGATCCTCACTGTACACTAAATGCTTATTCTTACAGTATGTGCAGCTCCCGCCCTTCATAAAAGAAGCTTATTTTGCAACAGATAGGACTATTACCGAAATCATTACCTGGTAAAAATGCAAAGAACAACTGACTGTGAGGTACCCAACCCCAAGTGATACATCTACAATGTAGTCCCTACACCTAAGACTCAGGGAATGTCACAGAAAAGGGCAGAAAAACTATAAGAGCCAGAGAATGAGGATGCATGTTGTGAGATGGTGTCTTCTATTGTAGACAGGAAAGATGCAACCATGAAATCTTAGCAATATGGCGTTCTAAACAAGACCTGAATAATGACATGCCAATATGGACAGGGAAATCTTCCAAACTTTCTATAGTACCCTTAAGTAATTAATTAATGAGCTCACACAGAATCTTTTGTATTTAAGTTTTAGGAGATGGGCTGGTCTTATGTATGTTTCTTAGCACCCAGAACAGACAGTAACCATTTAGTGAACATTTGTATGAAGGAGGAAAAAAACCCTTGGATTCTCAGGTATTTAAAGTATGTTCAGAGAGTCAAGGAAAAGTAAAAAGAGAACTGTGACTTAATTCTACCCAAGCTATCTGACACACTGTACTATGTAAGAAAGAAGAACAATACACGACACAGGGCCTATACTTAGTATAGATGATGTGATATTAAAAGAAGACAGAAAAAGAACAACTTTGATGCTATTCTCTTTTTAATTACTATGTAGAAAGTGTGGAAAACATAATTAAAATGCAACTTTAAGGAAAGATAACCCAAGTACAAGATAAAATAGGGACAGATACAGAAAGTCTGGTCTTGCTTTAAGGGTGTTTCCAGAAGACATGAAAGCTTTCTTGAAAACATTTGAAAAAAAAAGAGGATTTAATTGTTCTTATATGGCTCTCTGCTGTATGAGAAGTTAATATGCTGAAGTTAACTTACGGTGAGGGGAGCTCTCACCATTTGGAGCTACCCAACAATGAAAAGGAAGCTATATTGTCAGGGAATCTACTCAGGCCAACATTTTGAGGATCAGCCCACAGAAGATTCCAGATTCTTATTAATGTACAGGTTTTAATGTTAGCTTCTTCAAATATCATCATATGATATATCTATCCACTTCTTTCTTATTTATCACAGTCCCAAAACACAATATTTGGTATCCATTAAAGAAGTGATTCAATCTTAATTCTAATCAATGTTATTACCAGTATTAGCTTAGAAGTAGATCAATACCCGAGTCAGTAGGAAGGCAAACCGATACTATTGGTAAAAATAAGACACAGGACGATGGCTAGAATCCATGTTCACTTCTTGCTTCAAGGTAAAATGATCAGGTATAAAGCTCCTAAGGAGTATAACTGAGGTAGGGAAAGGAGATTACATGGATCACGGCATTCATTCCTAAAAGTAGGTCAGCATACTACAGTTGTTTTGAGCACCGTACCAATGATATTAGACACAAATAACTGTAGGAATGGCCCCTTCTGGAAGTATGGCAGCTCAGAACATTACCCGCATGGCTTCCTGAATGTGGTCCTGCCGGATTAGTTCTGCGGAGCAGTCCATGTACCACTTCAAACAGCGGATAAGCTCCCTGGAGAGAGAACATTTACAGAATTCCATTTTAATCAAAAGGCAATGAGTCTCAAATTTATATTTAGTCAAATGGAAAATAGCAAAGAACTGTCAAATAGGAAATAATATTCTGCTGATGAGCTAAAGTGATGGATCCATCACAGCTGTGGAATTTTTACATTATCTGAGAGCAGACATTTTCTGTCCATAAGGAGCTACAGAATTTTTATCAGTAGTCATAAGCACTCTTTCCCACTCTAGTTTTCCTCCAAACTTAGACTGTATTATGTACTTTTATTTGTCTTAAGTTGTAGTATCTCCCGAACATACAACACTAACTAACACACTGAGTAAAAGTATACTAATGCCACCCCATTCCACACCTCATTTCCCAAGGACCAAGCCACCTCAGAGCAATGAGTTTACTGAGTCAGAAGTATTACAATGTAAAAGAGCACAGGCTGGTTCGAACTTGTGATCCTCTGTCTCTGCCTCCTTCAGCAAATTCTACCAGCGTGTACCACCACAACCGGCATTATGACAGAATGATGCCTATGCCATGCCTTTTAGTCTCTGATAGGATGTATCCATGAAATTGTTTCTCTTAACACAATAACTGTATATGAGTGAGCTCGCCCTGAGGTCGTGGCTATAGGAGAGCTGGCTCTACCCCTTGTCTTCCATGTGGTGATGAGGGTGAGGGAGAGATGTCCCTTCCCCCGTGCCCCTTGTGCCCTGTGGCAGGCAAGAAAACTGCCCCTGCCAACTGCAGCACTCAGGACAGTGGGCCCTGTACTTCGTCTTGGCAACACAGTTGAGCTGACCCCAATGATGGGTGCGTGGATGAGCTGGCCCAGAGGACATAAGCATGAGAGCTCTGGCCCTGCTCCTTATCTGTCATATGGTGGCATGGGCAAGGGAGAGATGTGCCCTCATTCACACTCCCTAAGGCTGGTGGCAGGTGGGAAAGCTATCCATAAGGTCGTGAGAGTGAGAGAGCTGGTCCTGCCTCTCACCAGCTATAGCACTCGGCAGCACCCTACACTCACCTAGGCAACACAGGAGAGCTGGCCCTAGGGTGTACATGTTGGCCAGCCAGACTTGGGAAATGAGAGCAGGAGAACCAGGTTTCCTTTGGCTGCTTAGTTCATAGGGTGAACTGGCTGGGGCAGTGCTGGAGAGTTCACCCTGGTATTGAGGATGCAGGAGAGTCATCTGCTGACCAACCCAGCAACCACCAAGACCCAGGACCAGAGTTATGAGTTGGCCTATCCTAGCATCCACCCCATCTGTGATATGCTGGAACACATGAAGGGACTGGTCCTGAAGACCCAAAGTTGCAGAATCCCTACACAGCAATAACAGGATATCCAAGAGGAGCCCCAGGGAGGGCCTAATATCAATGGTAGAGCAGAAACCAGAGACCTCAGAACCAGACCAATGACGCAATGCAATGAACGTTTGCAAGTAATGATATGTGGACTAAGGGTATTTTCTGTGACTCACTGAGACACACTACGGCTTCCACAACAAGACTTTTCCTTTTTTTAAAAAAATCTCTTTTCTTTTAAATTTTATTTATTTTTACTAGTGGGGAGTTACAAAGGTAGAGGGCAGACGGGAAGGGAAAGGGAGATGATTGGGATCAAGATGAATGATGTGAAATACACAAAGAATCAATAAAGAGTTAAATTGGAAAAGAGAAATTATATGGATACCTACTATTCCATAAGCTAATTCAAAAATAAATTTTAAAAATGAATTTGAATGGAAATAACCTATACAAATGGATGGCAATCCCAGAAGCCATAGGCAATCAAACAAATATCCCACTGGTGGATACGACATACCTCCCTGTAAGTTGTTGGCCAGGAAGGTACAGAGACCCCAAACAACAAGGCTATAGCCACTGCTCTGTAATTGGTAAGACCTTATTTCTGAAGATACCACACACCTTGGCTGCAGGACATAGAGAAATCAAGCTGGAGCTGAAATGGAAACTTCCTCCCTGCTGGCTGTCATGCACAGTGCCAGAAGATGCTATGCAAGTTGCAGAAGTTGGGGACACAAGTCATCAACTGTTTTTTACCCAGCAGAGGACCTGAAGTGCTATAATGATAACCTGCCAAACAAGATGTATGCCCACCAGTGTAACAGCATTTTGAGGTTAACCAAGTACACTCTAATTGAATTGGAGGCCTGTTCCACAAGAAGGAGTTCAATGACTACTACTGTAAGCCTGATTAAAACAGAACCAAAACAAAAACATGGGTGGAGAGGTATTATTATGGCTGTTTTGCTAAAAGGACATGATATCAAACTGCCTCTAAGTATTTACATTTATACCCATACACAAGAGCTGCTTTCAGTCTTAACCACACAAGCTTCTTTTTATAGTGGATGGCACTGAATGCAAAAACTCATGGCTACTCAAAGTGCTGAGAATAAGTGACTGTTGAGTTCTCATCCCTACACAGGACATCTATATCACCCTCTTTGAGGATCAAGGAACATAAAGGAAGAAAGGGTAAAAAGAATGCAAGAGCCAGATGACAACAAGAAGGGCTGTAAAACGTTATCTTCTGGGCACGCCATGACCATTGCAATAGGGAACTAATAGCCCCTGCAGTTGCCTGCACTGGGTATGCACAAGACTGGGGCTGTCAACAGCCAGTCAAAGGTAGAGGAGGGGCTCATGGGGCCCTATGCCTCCTGGGAAACTACTAGCATTGATGGATGCTGGGCAAACGGAAGCTATGGGGGTGCTTGGAATCGAGCCTTAGTTCTCTGGCAGAGCACCGAGTACTCTTAACCAATGAGTCTTTTCTCCAGCTTCCTATTGTTCATTCTTAAAAAGAAAATTTTGATATACGCTACAACATGGTGACTTTGATGACATGGTAAGAGAAACAAGCTACTCTTTTGAGGTACTTAAGAGCAGTTGAAATTCAAAGACCAAAGTACACTGTTTTTCAGTAGCTGTGGAGACTAACAAGTATAAGTGTTAGATGTTACAGAGTTTTTTTTTTTTTTTTTTTTTTT